GAAATACTCTGTTGGAGCAGATTCCTTATCACAGCTCTGGGTGTGTGGTACATAGTCACAGTCACAGGAGTTGTGGTGATTGAAATTTTGAGGTTGTTATTCCTAGAGTCAACAAATTTTAGGGTGTAGTTTCTCAAGAAATAATAAATTGGGCATCTGAGGGCGGGGAAGAAAAAGGGTCCAATCCAGAAGAGGAAGGACTTCCTCATTCTGAATAGTGAAAGTTTTTTTCAATGTGTAAAATTATTTAGCCTGCACCTATTAAATGGGGGGGGGCATGTTAATGAGGATTGATCACTCTCATTTTTTAAGTTTTCCCATTTTGCTGTTGTATGACATGCTATTTCTTGCCTTGCACAGAGCCTTGTGAGCTATATTAGTTGTCTGGCAGGAAGTTTGAGATGAAGCAAGTACAATGAACAGAACTTTAAAGTTACACAATGTTATATATTAATTATATCTCAAAACTGAAAAAATACAACTGACAGAAAAATTTAAAGAGCTTATTTTAAAAGTAGGGATTATATATTAGAAATATAGAGGTAATAGTAATTACTGACGTACATTTTGTATAGCTACACCTTTCCTTGGTTCATGATGAGTCTGAGGTATGTGTAAATGTATAGAGTTCAATTTGCTGATAATTCGTCTTTAAGCAAAGAGTAATCAAGCTGCAGGGGCATCTTTCCTTTTCTTAGGGTAAACATGGCTGGTATTTGGTTGTTACTAATGTGCAGAAGGGAAGGCTGTTGGCCTCCATGGACATGAAGCCCTGAGAGAGGAGACTGGCAGTCTGACAGAGGGAAACAGGCCACCCAGTATCCACCTCTTTCTGCTTTCCCAATTCTCCACAAATCAGATCCTTTCACTCATTCTGAAAATTAAAAGGTCACATATAAAGCTTCAGTTTGTGTTGACTTGGTCCACATTCATTATTACTCTCCCTTTACAACCAGGGGGAGAGGCTGCCTTTTCTAGCATGACTTTGTTTCAGTTTTTAATCGTGCAAACCATCTCTCGTGGTTTTTCTTTGGATGTGAATGTAAACCATTACCAATGGTAAATTTCACCCATCTATTAAAAATAACACCTTATGTAACAATTGGCTGTAAGCACGACAATAAAAAGGATGTAAGTATTTATTTAATGTCGCATTAAATTAGCTTGATCTATACCCCTAGTCATTTCCTTTTGGAATGATTGTTAGGCTCTTGCAGAATCCAACTGTGAGCCGCGCTGGGATCTAAAATAGCAGGCAGTTGAAATCACTTTGAGCTTAGAAATCGAGAGGCAGCGTATTTTAATTATATTTCATGGAGCATTCTAAGATCTCCATTCTCCCATCCCTTTACTCCTCCTCAGCCAAGTTTATAAAACCAAACCATGAAGGAACATCCTGCAATTTTCATTACATTCACAAATCCTTCAAACTCTTTTAAATGATGTACTGTAAACTCAGTGTACTGACCATCTTATGCTGCCAGATGCACCGTAATGATAGGATAGTCCAGGGCACAGACCCTGAAGCCAGCCCATGTGAAGCGGGTTAGCTGCCTAACTCACAAATACTGTGTTTCCTCATGTATGAAATGTGGAACCCAATAATGGTGGCTATTTTCAGAGGTTTTGTGAAGATCAAATATCTAGGTATACATAATTAGAACAATCCCTGGTGCATAATAAGTGCTACCTAAGTGTTTACTAACATGATTTTCTTTTTCAAAGGAAATGAGTCCTTAGGGTACCCCTGTGTCCCCTTTCATGCTGTGCCACACGCATTTGTCATTCTCAGTTTACCACATCATCCTGCTCCAAGAAATGTTATGACTTATCACATCTGGTCTGTAGTGAAACTAATTTTTTTTTTAATCAAGACATCTTAGCCAACTTTCCTTAAGAAAGGCTGGTCTTGAAGAGTATTCATGGTTCCTGGAGATGTGATTTTAATTTTTCTTTCCTCAAGTCAGCTAAGTGGATTACAGTGTTCTGGATAAATAACTAACTGGCTCCAAATGAGCGGTTTAATTCTTCAGCCTCTGATGGCCTCTGGGAGGTGATGCAACACGACCCACAGCTCACCACATTGCCTATAAATAAATATTTTGATGGAAAGCTTTTCTGGTTCCACATTTGAAGCTGAGTAAAACCAAACATATGAGTACTGACAGTTCTTCAGAAAATTAAAGTGTGTTTCTAAAATCTTTACTGTGAATATTACATGGTTACAAAAGCTGTAAAACAGTCACAGCATCTAACTTATGTAATAAAAATCCATTGTTATTCTTACTGTCATCATTTCCTTAAAAACAAAAACAACACAACTGTCGATCTAGATCATGAATAAGGAAATAATGCAGTTGTTTATATTTAAACAAATTTAAGTGTTTTTAATGTTTTGTAAAGTACTACTATCAGTGAACCAGAGATTGTAGATAATGTCACTCATATGTTTGTCTTGCTTTCATTTCAAGAGTCATCATTGGCTCTGATCATTGCCTCTTAGTTCCAAATTTACAAAAACGTCAAGCTCCTAAGTTAAAAATTAATACACTAGGCTACCTCTTCTCCCCTTTTAACACCATAAAGGGCATTTAAACAAATCGAGGAACTTTGTACCCACAGTGCTTTGTCTTGGCTGTGAGTCTGACCTTTAAGATACCATAGAAAGCTGTTTCCTAAACACATCACTAGAGCTGTGGACATCTAATAACTGTGCCTCCCAGTGTAGAGATACCCTTTCACAGTAAAATAATACCCTAGTTTTTCTCTGCAGACTTTCTGCTTTCCTATTCTCAAGCTATGTGGGTTTAGTTGGAATAAACCACAGTGCCAGCCCCCCTGCATGCATCAAATCAGTGTATCACCCAACGCCAACAACCAATGGCCTTTGTGATTGGCTCAGGGATGAGCATACTAACCAATCAGGGCCAATGATGACCTTCACTAAGCATTCTTGAGAAATAACTTTTTCTTCTCTCCTGTATGAGCAGCCAAAGGAAAAAAAAAAGACCTTCCCTCTTTCCAAAGAATGGAACCCCTCTCACTGCTGAATGAGTGGTAGAAGGATTTGAGGTCCGGAAGTGTGGCAGTCACGATGATAAAAAACAGAAACAGAGACCCTGGAGCTCCTGGGTGGGAGTGGGGGAGGCTCACGTAGAAGATGACACCACAGAAGATCAAGCTTCACTTTAACCAGGCAGAGCTCTGGACTTTCAGTTACTAAGTCAATACATTTCCTTTAATGTTTGTCAGTCTGGGTTGCATTTTCTGTTACTTGCAACATAAAGAGACCTGAACTATGTAGGCAAAATAGCCTAGAGTAGATACGAATATTTGGGCCCCCGAATTTGTACTCGGGAACTTTAAAAGTATTTCCATGCAGAAAAACAGATTTACTTTGCAAAAAAAGGCATGAGAGTAAGTGTCTACTTTCGAGATTATTCTAATCAGTGGATGCCAAACAATGGTAAACCACTTTTTAAAATAAGCTTTATATTTACCCATTTGTCATTTCTGAGTATCTCATTCAACAAATAATTCTGTTAAACTTTAAGAGTCACATTTAAAAGTTTAGCATTGACTTTAATATTAGAGCTGAAACATTTTCCATGTGTTTATGCTTTTTCATAAGTTATTGTTCTGCCTTGGGAAATGGGATTGAAAGGAAATAGAATGAGACTTGGGGGACAGGAAAACATTTCTATAGCTTATTATTTAAAAAAAAAAGACTATTCTTTCTTTGTCCATTCTGAACTTAGAAATCTATTTTTCTATATAAAACTGAAATATTTAACAATTCATAAAAAACTAAGCATTTACATTAAAATACAACCTTAAATATAGCCCTATAATTTACACTAGGAACCTTGTAAAATATGATGAATATACATGCATGAATACCATTCAACATTCACATGGAAAAGCAGCATTACATACAACATAATAAATATCCAGGAAGTCAAATCCACAAATTGATCATTATTCTGATTTAGATTCTTTTCTCCAGTTAAGACTTTTATACTTCTTATATAGTTTATTATAATAATTTTACAAGTTAGGCATTAACTAATTAAAAACAGAGTTCAACTAATCTGACTGCTGAAATAACACAATCCTCAATATTTTACAGCATATTTTAATCTATAACACTTATAAAACTGTCATTTTGGCAAGAAATGCACATCCATATAACTAACTACTCAATAACTTCTTTTTCAATATATAAAAAAGTCAGTTGATAGTATGAAAAGAAACAGGAGCTAATATTATTTCTGAGATAATTTCATTGCCTTAGCTTTTCTGTTTTGGCAATAAATGTCTTAAGGTTTAATATATATCATAACTTAAATAGTGTATTTACAAAACATAAAACTTTTTAAAGTGAAATACTATACAAATACTGTTTTTACACTTTTAATGGGTACTTTGCCTTATAATGGATGCAAGTCCTTTACCTCTGATTTTCCCACATACTTTCAGGAGCCCTTCTTCACACAGTAATTCAGAGATGGGTTTTTTAATAGTGGAAACTGGTCTACAATTAAAATATGAAGGCAAAGATCAAAGGTTACTATTGTATGTATACCTTCTTGAGATTTTTCTAAGGAACAGTCCTACTTAAAAGCTGCTTATAATCCAAATTACACATTTTACTTTTTTACATCTTAATTCTTTCCTTTTGTCACTAAATATCTCTAACAAACACTTTTGAGGAATATTATATCACTTGTGAAAATTAATTTTAATTGTCTTTCTTTTGCAGTGCATGAAAGAGGAAGCAAGCACCCACTATTTCTGTTAACTTTTCAACATCTGTTTCTATGTACAAATACTTAATATAATTTCTTCATCTAAAGTACTGAGAGAATAAATGAGATTCATGTGTACTGCTCCTTGCTGCTATAAGAGTCGTCTTTTAGAAGTGACTGATATTCACCCACCACTACTGAGTTCCATAACTAAGTTCCATAGTCAAGGATCTTATCTTGAGGATGCACCAGTCTTTCTGCATAAAGGTTCTTTCTGATTCTTTGTTGGTTAGGAGCCAAATTCCTTGTATGTCAATATATATTTTCCAGATCACCCAAATATGAACCTAAACCTTGCAGAATCCCTCCGAATGCACATGCTCAGTGTGTGATTGACTGGACATGGACAAGGTAAAGGGAACTCTGAGAGGGGGTCAAGGCTTTGGGGATTCTGAGGGCAGTGGGCTTCACCAGCCCTGCACAGCGGCACTCTGCTGTTGTCACTGAGGAGTATTGTCCAAGGCTGGATAGAGTGGTTACTTGCAAGTGTGGACATCAGTCATGCTTTCACACCTCCTGCAGCGAACATAGCAGCACCAAATAAACTTACACTCACACCTCTCCACGTGTCTGACCACATGGGTGTTGTAGCCACGGCCGCAGCAGAGGAGGTTGCAGCCATCCGCACCCTCAGACGTGCGGTTGCATTCTCTGCCTTGTGTCCCTGCGATCCCTAACTTCTTATCCTCTACACAGTAATTGGGAGACTTGTTAACGTAGAGCAGATCGTCCTTGTGGATGGGTACTTTCCTCTGGTCTTTGTCTCTCCTGCGCATTTTCCTCTTGATTTTCTCTGAGACTTGAATGCTGTTTTCATATTTATCTTTCAACAAATGTCCAATCTTTTCAAAAGAAGACATGGTTTTCCAGCATGTTTTTACAGCGCAGGAGCCGGAAACCCCATGACAGCGGCAGTCCACTGACATCAGCTTGGCAACAGCCTGAAACAAACAATAGGAATTGAGTCAAATGTCACCCATAAAGGGCTTTTACTCAACAACAGATGCAAACTAATCTAATCACTTATCTTTCTAGGTCTTTTTCCTCCTGTATAAAAATGATGATTTTGAACATAAAGGGTCTTTCAGATTGCTGAGGGTTCAAATGTTTTGTCCTTCTCTTGACCCTTTAAAGCAAAACTTTCCATGTCAAATTTAAGGTAGTAGACCAGGCTAATATTGTTATTAGAGATGATCTGAGATAACAAAGAAAAACTATTTTATTTCTAATCTCTCATCTAATTTTTGGTGTGGGGGGGATGTTCACGCATGTCTCCATTTCCTGATACCATTTAGCACCTGGCTCCTGAGTGTGCTCAGGGGACCAGCAATGACAGCGTCACTCGTGAAAAGGCGCACTTTCAGAATCGGAATCTGCATTTTAATCAGATCCTCAGGGGACTTCAATATGCACATTAGAATTTGAGAAGCGCTGATAGAGGAGTCATCCTCAACTCACATAGCACATGAAAACATTTGGGGGAACTTACAATGCTCAGGCCTCTGAGATTCTGATTTAATTAGCTGATGTGGGGGGTCGGTAATGGTATTTCTACAAAGCTGCTCAGATGATTCTGATGCTCACGAAGGGATGAGACCTACTGACTGAAACGAGAGTTCTCAGGTGTGACCACTGTAGCAGACGGTTACATTCATGGAGATTGGGGGAGATGCTATTCCCTGGTCACAGATCCCATGAGAAACCCTGACTCATCAACTTAAGTTGGATAAAAAGAAAAAAGGGCTGAAGAGTGTGATTTTCCAGAAAATTTTTTCCCCTCCTCTGGAAAATTATTTCAAAACATATGTCCTGTGTTCAGTGGATTAGTAACACCATTCTAACACAGAAAGGGGCTAATATCTATGTATTTTTTTTTAGTTCTGTGTGCTGAGTTTAGTTTATGTAGACTGAGAAATTAAATGAGATTACAAATATCTGTAAAAGCCCACTGCCTGGCACACATGAAGGTCTAAATGAATGCCCCCTTTCTCTGAAGAAGGTACAGTAAAAATGGAGATAAACTTCAAATAGGGCAAACAGTGCAAAAACAATAAGGAGATTTAAAAAGTTTTGGGGCTCTTAATTGCTTGCATACCAGGCTAGTCAGCATAGCTTCCCGCAACCTCCAGAGGATGGCAGAGCAGATCAATAAATCGTCAGGGCTAACTGTAGAGTTGACGTCTGTCAGCATGCTGGGTAAAGTGAAAAATTGATCTCTCCATTCAGTAACTAGGAAATTGTGTGTGTAATCTCGCCAAATAAAGAAAAAAACCCACAGCCTAAATTCCACTTACAGTTCTTACCAAAACGATAACATGACAAGCTTTAGAGTTTGCTATTCCTTTTGTACCAAACCTGACATTGACATGTTTGGGGATGTTACATTTCCTAACAAATTAACCAAAGTTTCTGAACATCTAATTAGACAGAATATTTCAAACAGTTTATAATATTTGCAACCTGAATGAGAGCATATGGCATTGATTTAGGCAATATTCGATACTTCTTACTGGTGTTTAAAATAATAAACAGAGTAATATTTAAACCCTGTTCTTTACAGACGGCAGCACATATGCGAATGTGCTTTTTGAATTCACAAACCTGAGAAGTTAATAGATATGTGTACTTCTTATTAACTCAGGCAAAACGGTACCTTTCAATAATATGAAAGCAATTTATAAAGTATGGCACACAGGCTTATTTGGTTAAATATAGTGCATTTGACATTCACAAAGCCTTCAATTGTTTAAAATGTCTCTAGGCACAGAAATGTTAAAATTAATGCAGTTTGCCTACTTCTGTGCAGATTTTAAGTGCCTGAAACATAAGAGAAAAAGGGCTCAATCAATGCTAGGTAATAACAAAACAAATTGCCCAAAGAAAACCCCAAATCTAAGATGTATATTTATGTGTTTAAATCTGATCAACGTTCCTTATAGCCATCACCTAGTGATTTAACACTGCCCTTAGCTCAGGATCATGATTGAAGAGTTGACTTTTTCTTTTACGAACTAGTTCAAATATCACGTATGGTTGTTGCCAACTTGTAAAGTGTAGCAGGCAGAATAGATACTCACCAAAAACTTATTGAATAATTAGTCTAGTTCTCTGAAATGGTTTTAACTCAACCTCTATTGGTAATCCGAATTGGGAAGAAGTAATAAAACAAGAGTCACTGCTGGCAAGCCAATGGTATTGGAAGAACTTGATTGACAGTGGGAGTCCATAAGAGTGACACACTGCCTTACAGGTTTGAAAGATAAAGAGAGACTGACTTTCAAGTTCAATGATATAATCTGCTGAATTTGTCAAAACTTTGAAGGGATTTTCCTGCCTTAGAAAGCTAGCCCTGTTAAATATCTGTAGTTAACTATAACTTTTCAGGGTTAACATTTTAAAGAACTTGCATTTGATTACTTTTTAATTCTATTACTTTTTTGGTTTCTATCAATAAGTATTAAAAAAGAAAGAGTGTTTTTATCTTACATACACTTATTCTTAGGTAGAAAGACAAATCAACTTCAAGGAGAATAACTTGACCTGCAATTTAAATGATATATCCAAGAAAAAAACTTGGACAGACAGGAATTAAAATAAATCAATGTAATGACTTCTACAAAAATTTGATGAAATTCAGAGTTCAAGGCAGATACACACACACACACATACACAAACTATGGAGCTTAGTGGTCTCAGAGTACATTTGCATAAATATTTTACTTAATTTAGTTTTATAGGAAGAAATGTAGGTAGTTATAAACATGTACTTATTATTCCAGTTTTACAGAAAAATAAACAGTGTGGCTAAGACATTTGTCATACATAAGGAAAATTGGTGTTACATGACATAAAATCTTTATATGAAGCTGGATAATTTTAGTAGAAGAGAAAAATGCTACTATATTTAATAAAATTTCATGAACACTTCAAAAAAAGTATATTCTGGAGATTTTTAGCTAGGATTCTTAATTAATGCTCAATAGCCTTTCCCAACCCCAGTGATAGCACAGCCATTTTGGGGGGACGGGAAAAGTAAGAGAATAGCAACTGAATGAGTTGTATGTGGTTATGAGAAAATTCCTTTCTCTACTTTAGTTGAGTTGTTAAGGTTTATAACGATATTAACAGAGGAATGTTTTGTTAACTATTGCAAACAGATGTGCCCATTTGGGTGGAATATTTTCAAACTATGGGAGAGCAATTAGGAGGGGAACATTTAATCTACTGGGCTCCTTTGTGTTAAATTTTGGTTTGATGCATTTCTAATGAAGTGAAATATGAAAGGCAAATCATAATACTTAAAGGTAAAAAAATGGAAACTGAGAAGTGGGCTAAGGAGTGACGGTCCCACAACTTTGACTTAGGTAACACAGCAGGCAGAGACTGTTTTCCAGTGTGTCATTCAACCCAAACTTTTCAGAAATGACCAAAACACTGTTGTGAAACATTTTGTGATGAGCATTTCATTTTGTCAACTATCAGATGATTTGTTTAAGTTTTTAGGAAAACTGTGACATAAGATTGGATGATACATGTGGAATTCCTATTCCTCTGACCCATTTTGTGCCTTTTAGTCCAAAAATATATTTGAATCTGCTGAAAAGCAAAAACACTTATGTGTTGTTCAAATACTTATAAATATTCTTGAAACAGGTCAATGAAAATTTGGGGTTGGGCCCTTCCCACTTTTCTGAGTTAGTCATCATAAAACAAATTATGGGGTAGGAAAACTTAAAAGTTTATGAGGTGGACATGGGAAGAATGGAAATATTTTAAGCACACCAAAAGAAATACCCATAAATATTCCAAGTCACATTATTCCCAGAAGTTCTGCCCCTGGAAGACATCACATCATTCTGTTAGCCAATCACCATTCAGCAACATTATTCTTGGAGTCATAACTTTAGGAATGGTGTCAGAAACCAAGTGGGAATTTAAGGTCAGCGGTTAGAAAATCATCTATCCTGCTCATAGCACTACTAAGCGCCAGTACCCACATTTCTCTGAATGCTTTTCGACATTTGGAGTTTGGGATTTTGAGACTGGGAAAATCAAATCAATTGAATGCAGACCTTGAACTTTGCTCAGAATATGCCCATTAAATTAAAATTCTATTTGCCAGTATCAAAAACGGAGTTGATTATTCTCCCATGTTAGATAATAACCTGGAAACTTGGTTAGTTTGTTGTTGTGGTGGTGGTTTTTATATTTTTGGCCAGCAAAAGAAAGAAAAATACAAAAGTGCTTTGCTTTGCAATACTTAGAAGAAAAGAACCATAAAACACCTCAAAATACCCAGGTAATATTTTTTAATATTTTAAGTTATCATCTAGACTCATGTGAGAAAAAAATTTAAGTCAAAAATCTTTTAAAGAATCTAAAATCTTAGTAGAAAACTTAAATTTTACATAAAATGTGTATAAATGTATAGGCTAATTTTTCTGCATAATTAGAATAATAGCAAAAACCAGAGAATATAATGATATGGTGTTTTGCCAACAATGGATTAATATTGATGCTGAGTAATTGTTTGTTTTTAATAAAATTAGAATATAAATAATAGTTTAAGACACAAGTTAATAGTTACAAAGACAAATAGTGTTATTTAATTAAAAATTCAAACAAGAATAAAACTAAATAGCTGCCTACCATTATTAATAAAATACATTTTAGAAGACTTTAGGACATTTCATAAGTTTGAAGTTGACATCATTCAAGAGAATCATAATATGAGTTTCTGAGTTTTGTTTCCTGGTTAAAAATTTAAAAATTTCTCACAAAACATTTAAAGAATGTTTACAAAAGATATAAGGTTAAAATTAATAATAAATATTCATTTAATTGTTTTCTTATTTTAAAAATATATTATTTTCACTCATCTTGGTGCTTTTTCTTGCTTAACTGTGGAGTTTTAAAGAACATATGTTAATTATAATTAATCTGTTTTATATTTATATATTAGAAATCATTAAAATTCCTTTATTGGATAATATTTAAATTAAAGCAAAAACTAATTTATTTATTATTTTAATGTAAAACTTTAAGGAGAAGATACATATGCATAATTATAGTGTTAGGCAAGTTACTTTAGTGATGTAAATTAACTTTTAAAATTTCTAAACAAGCCCTATCCAGGTAGCTCAGTTGGTTAAAGCATTGTTCCAATATACCAAGTTTGCAAGTTCCATCCCTGGTCAGAGCACATACAAGAAGTAACCAATGCATGAATATGTGGAACAACATATCAATGTTTCTTTCTCCCCCCCAACTGCCCTTCCTGTCTTTCTCTAAAATAAATAAAAAAAAAAAACAGTCAATACAATTTTAAAGATAAATTAAAAAAATTTTAAACAAAAATATAAAAAGCTTACATAGTTACTTACTATTTTTCTATTTTGCACCTTTTAACTGAATATTCAAATTGAAGAGTAAAATTTGAATTTCATGTGTTATAGTGATATAGTTATTGAGATTTCTGTTTTTGTATTTTAAGCCAAAATAGTTAAGTAAAAAAAAATGGCTTAAGCTCACAACTATTCTGATTAGGTTCCATTTATTCATTTTCCAAAAAATGTAAAACAAATGCAACGTACACTTTAACTATTCCTGGGAGATACTGAAGCTTGTTTTATTTCAGGAGGATGTGACAGATTGCAATGACAACTTTAGGACTTTCACAGGTTACTGGGCATGTTCAGTGATATATAATATGTGCTGATATTCCTGTTCTGAAAAGATTGTAAGATAGAAAATATATATTCATAAAAAGGTTTTGGCTGTTTTAGGAAAGTCACTATGAATTACCAAGTAATTCAACTACAGTACAGAAGTCAAATGTTATTGTGTCAATATTCATTAAGATAAATATATAAAAGTTAAATTAAGTTACAAATTTTTCAGTTTTAAGAAAATTTAGTATAAAAAGCCAGTATCCATAAAAGAGGTTAATTAGATGATGATATTTCAAATTTTCTCTTGCTGAATCTTTACACTTTTAAATACCATATATTTAATACACTTATAGCTTCTTTTCATTTATATCAATTTTACAATGAACCTACATAGTTTTATAATAAAATATATATTTCCCTTAAAAGACTTTGTTTTACGAAAACAATTAGTTAAATATTGTCTATTCTGAACGTATTCAAGAATGTTTGCTAGAGAAAGGCAAAACTGATAACATGTCTAGGTGACATTGCCCACTAAGAAATACATTTAAAATAAGTTCAAATTTAAGGAAATGAACTTTGACCCAGTCCCACTAGGAAGGCAGATACTGTCGATCTTATTTAGGCTCTGCCACTAACCAGCTAAGAGGGTGGAACCAAATAACCCAACAGGTACTTGTACATCGGTTATTTTATTATTCATGTTTTAGGTATATGAAGTGTACAGTCACAAACACATTCTATAACAAGATTGAACTCATGTCAGATGGAGAACTTAAACTAAATCAATGTGGTCAGTACAGGCACATGAAAGAAAAAAATATATAAATGCAGTTACACATAGAACACACACATGTATAATAATATGTATATACATACATGCACATATATTTCTGCAGGTATTTTTTTAAACTACTTGAACAGATTCATGCACAAGTGTAACCCTCATGTTATTGACCTAAAAGCACTGGATTTTTTCTCATTTTCTAATACGTACCTGCCTTCCAGCTTCATTGTTATGAAGGTTCATTGCTAACAGTACTTTGCTTTCTTTTTCCGTGGTGTTTCTGATGGGGGAATCTAGGAACTTGCGGCTGAACCACATGCCGTACTGGACATCGTCGGAGCAGCCCCCCCAGTGCCAGCCTTCGCTCGCTGAGCCACCGTTCTGCAAGGTGGTGTCACAGGAGCACTCCGTCATGTTGCCTGCACTGCACGACCTGGTCACTGAATGCACCAGGCCCGCGGCCATCACGGCATAAATGAATGCCGTTTCCTTGGTACCTAGAATAAAACATAAGTCGCTAAATGAAAGAGCCGTATTACTCTCTGTTTATATTTATAATAGAGCCTCCTACTCATCCTCTTGCCAGGGAAGCACTTTTTCAATTGCTTACAATGGGTGCTTTAATGAATATGTATTTAGAAAGGATGATTTCCTATTGTTCTAGTCTTTTTAAAAAAGCAGCATTAATTTTGAGTATCCTGCTTGAGGGGATTGTCATATATTAGATAGCATTGTTCTCATACCTAAAAATATTTAATATAAAATGTATGTCAATATCTAGTTCAGTGCCTAATGGACAATTAAAGCTCAATAAATACATGTCAAATTAAAAAAAAAAAAACCTTTTGAGTGGATACTGTAAATGGTATACAATGCTCCCAAAGAGTCCAGATTACACTTGTTTTTAAATTTAAAATGTGCTTTCCCTAAACACAATCTGAAGAATTGGGTGCAATTTTTGTTCACATAAATAACACATACCAGAAAGCAAATTAAAATTAAACCAACCATAAAGCACTCAGTTGATAAATTATAATTTAGTTTCACGTTAAAGACTGTTCTTTTGTAGGACATTGTGAAAAACAGTCCTGACATTATTGAATAACATGAAACCATGGTATTTTTTATATAGTACTGGCTAATCCTTTTACAGTCTTAAAGATAACTAAAATGAAAGATAATTGAAATGTCACCAAAAAATGTTATGGAATATTATTGAATGTGTATTTAGCACACCTGCAATAGCGTTTGAGCTAAAATATTGGAAAATTAAAGGCTCATTAAGGCATAAATAAAATGGACTAGAATCGACTCCGCAGGCGACTTTTTTCTCTTTCGAGATGTTTAGATTGGAGTAGAAACAATTTCACGCCCGTTGTCCAATAACCCTTTTCAACAGCTGATGTCTTTGCATTTCAGCAACTGTGAAGAACACATCCCTCCCCGCTCCACGCCCCTCGCCCCGTGGGGGGGTCAGGGCTCCTTCGGAAGGGTGTGCGGGCCAAAACCCAGCAGGCCCCAGGCGGTGCTTTGGCGGCTGTGCGCGTAGAGACCCGGTGGGGAAGGGTCAAAGGTGGAGGGCGAACGGAAATGAATGCGAAAAGCAACGAATCTTCCAGAGCCCGGGTCCTAAAACTCTGTGAGTCTACTAAGATTCCTGGAGCCACCGTGGGTCTGTGTGCCTTTAACCTTCCCGAGTCACTAGGCTCGTGGAAGCGGAACTTTGTTTTATTGCAGCTTCCCGCCCTCGGCTGCGCGCAGAGCAGGGCAGAGAGGAGACTCCAGGGTCAACCAAAGCGGTCGTGCCCCGCTTAGCCGCACGGTGGGTTGCACGGGACAACCCCTTTTAAAAGTCACCATTATTCCGTGTACCTGGTGCTCGGAGGAGCCAGTAAACACGGTGAGGCTTCGCTGCGTTTAGCCACTTGTCCCGGGCTTGGTGATCAGCGGAGCCGCTTAAATCAAAGCAGATGGGGCAGCAGGATTCCCTGCAGCCGACATCATGTTTCTCCAGCTGGCGACCCAAGTAGGGGGGGCCCTACGGGTCCGAGGGGTCGGCGGGGTGGAGTACCAGAGTTTTTCCCCAACTCAGCGGGGCACAGCGGGCGGGAGGAGGAGCTGCGTCCCCGAGCGCCGGCTCCGGACCTGGGGAGTCACCCTCTCGGGACCGCACCTGCACCCGGGGTCTGGCGTCCGTAGCTCCCAATTCTTGTCCACGAAATTACCTCTATTGGAATTTAGAGAGCGACGGGACTACACAAGCACTATTTTAGGTACAGAGATTGGAGGAGTCCTCGTCCTCCGTCCCGCGCCAGCCCCGCGGGTCCCGGAACTCACCACTGCTCAGCTCGTAGCCAAAGAGCGGGCCGGTGCCCGGCGGGGCGGCGGCGGCCACCTGGCAGTTCCATCTCTCGTGTCTGAACTGGCTCCTGCACTCCTGAATGCCCAGCCGGGCGCCCTCTCGGACGCTGGGCAGCAGGTACGGTTTCCTCTTGCACAGCTCCTTCTGGCGGCTGGTCAGCGGCAAGTTGGCGCAGCCCAGTTTCTCCGGAACCCCGAAGGAGGCGATGCCCAACCACCTGTAAGACACGGCCGACCCTGTCTCACGTCGCTCGCTTGCTGTCCTTCCCAATCCCAAATGTTTTCCCCAAGATTAGGTTATCCGCCCTGGGGTCCCCTCTCTGTACCCCTCCCTCCTTAGTTTAAAGTTCCCCGAGGCTGGGTACCTCGTTCGTCTCATACCCCGTGCGTCTCCGCTGCCCCCATACTCACATCCAGTTTCCTTGGGCTCCGCCAGGGAACAGCGCGAGCAGGGCTGCCCAAAGAGCGCACAAGCGGGACAGTCCCAGGAGCGCCGCTCTGTCCATGGCCCCCGCATGGATTCCCCCAGCCCCAGCCACTCCTCTTCTGCCCTCCCAGCCCAGAGGCCCGCCAGACCAGAGGTCAGTTCCCCAGCACTAAGATGTCCCTCGTTCTCTTCCTCACTGCAGACAACATAAAAAGGAGGCCAGCAGTGGTAGGGGTTCTCAGCGGCCTCCCATCGCTGGCAGGGAGCAGTATGAGGAGGTGGAGGAAATAGCTTGAGCCTCTTCTCCCGCGCCTAGCTGGAGAAGATGTACAGGAGATGCGGGAGAGTCCCTCGCACTCCAAGGTGAGAAACTTCTGTTGATGTAGCTGTGTCTCCATCGCCCCGGGCCTCTCCTCCCATCTCCTCCCCCTGGCCGCGCCTGGAGCCTGATTGGCCAAGACGCTGCCCCGCACTCATCATCCTCAGATCTCAGGATCTCATTGGCTGAGAGCGGTCTCCACGGGAGGCACTGGGTCCTCAGCTGGGTCCAGCCCCTCCAGACTCCGATGTGTTCATGACCTTTCCTGCGGCCACTGTTTCCAGAGCGGGTCTCTACTCGAGAGTAAGGGACTCAACCCTAAGACTGATAGGGGCGCTTCTGTCCTAGTAACCTTGGGTGGAATCGAGGATCAAATGGGAATGGGAGACGTTTGAGTTCCACCCATCCGAGCTGCATTTGGATTAATTACCCTCTGGGTGGAGTGGCTGGAAAATCTCACCGTCCCCATTTCTTTCCTCTCCTTCACCTCACAGGAGAATAATCTTTTTGAGTCATAGTTGGTACCAAACAAGTTGACCTTTCAACACTCTGCTTGAGGTCTCATGTGTCAGGAAGATTGAGAGGCCGGGTGAAACGCTGTCAGGCTGGAGGCATCGTCATCTGTGCAAGCATTCATATTTAGCGAAATGGAAGGTTCCAGCCTAGCACCTAACCTACCATATTTACATCATGTTGTGTGATTTCCTTTTCCCAGTTCGGGTCACATTCTTCATCCTCGAAAGCACTGTCAGAAGATGGAGCACAGAAAAGGCATGTGAGCGACAGCTGTCCAGAGAGTTCTAGAATAGAGGGGGCTCTATCCTTACCCTTCTTTCCAGTCTACCTTATGTCTCGCAGGGAGACTTTGGCAGAGGCTACAACTAAAGACAGATTTTTAAAACATACTTATTAAACACTTACTGTATGGCCAGTACTGTGAGGAATTATAAAGACAAGATTCTTTCTCTGGAGTACACAAACCAGCCATGGAGAGGAGTCTAACACAAAGTAATGTGAGGTCCTCCGTAAAGGAGAGTATGGAATCCAGCCAGGTACTCGTTAGAGCCAAAGAGAGTTGGGAAGCAGAATGTTACGGTGCCTGGCAGTTTAAGGTTAGTTGACTAGTGTTCTGCAACCTCAGGGAGAGCTCTGAAGGCAAGTGGGGCTGGCTTAGCTGTGCTGTCAGAAAGCCCTGGCACACCTAGTTGGTGACAGGAAATGTGTCCGAGAGGCATCAACTGCTCCTCAGAGGACCTAAGAAATATTTGTAGATTCTCACGTGCACAAATCAGCTTAGTGGACGCCAAAACCCAGACTTACTCAAATAAAAGATCTTATTATTTGCTTTATTCTCGAGCTAAAGGATTTGATTTATTGCAAATCTCCTATATTAGCCCAGAGCAATAAAAGCTCACTGAGATTCTCATCATCGCATTCACTCCTTTATTCAACAAGTCGTTATTGAGTGAACACCTTGTACTATAAGCCACATTGTAATTTTTAGAGAGTCAAGTTGATAGGGTGTAGTTATTGGTCCAGCGATTTCAGCGAATGGCTAGTGGCCTTTCTGAAACTCAGAGGCTTCCTCCAGGACACTATTCTGTGAGCCACTCCAGGAGGCATTGCTGTGCCCCCACCACTGGGCCCAGTACATGAGATTCTGGTTCGGAGAGAATGCAGTTTATTGAGTGAATTAACATAATGAGGAACATTCTGAGCAGATATCTAAGTGGCTAAATGATGAAACTAGAGAAGTGACTGCATTTTTCAGGGGAATGGAGGAGGCAGGAGAAACCAATCTCAAAACTGGGAGAGTGGAGGACATCAATACTTTACGCTGATTTTAGTGGTAGATGTTTTAAGAAAGTTGTTGGATTTTTAATTGAAAAATGTATATTGAACTTCTATTATGAGTTGAAAAGTGAGGGGTAAAACTAAGCTAATGTTCATGGCCTGATTGGCAAGACTGAAAATGAATAGGCAAGTACAATACAGTGTGATAAATGGGGGAAGTATTGTGTGCCACGAACCACATAGGAGGATTACTTAATCTGGTTTGGGAGTGGGGTGGTAAGTTGCCTTCATTATCTCTCTAGGGACCCAGCACTGTCCAGGCAGGTATTTGGATAAAGCATTTAGAGGAGAACTGGAGTATTCTGTTCTTATAGTTTAAGAATGCTAGGTCAACCATTTTCTAATACAAGCTACAATTTTAGGGCCTGAGTGGTGCTGTAGCTGGTTTCCAGTAGCTGATCCAGCTGAACTAGGCATTTCATTAAATGAACAGACATTTGAGTGCCCAATTTGTGTGTGAACTTTTGTGCGCCAAGAACCCACTATGTGCCCCCAGTGTTTTTTTCTTTCTTTCTATCTCTGTCCCTCCCTTCTCTCTCTCTCTTTCTCTCTCTCACACCTTGCAACATTTCAGCTCATACAATTGATACTTATGTTATACTTAAGGAAATGAATGTGGAGAGATTAAGAAACTTGCTCAAGGTCACTCAGCTAATAAGTAATAGAGTAAAAAAAATCTTATTTTAGATGACTTATTCTTTATACCATAACATACTGCTTAATAACTTAATTCAAATCCTTTATTTTTTCCTAATCTAATTGGACCTCTGATCAATGGACCTCGGGGTCTAAATTTCTCTTCTGCATTCCATGGTTCACAGATATCTCCATCAGAGTTCTGTTCCCTGATGCTAAACCAAAACTATATATTTTTTTATTGAAAAAAATATATTGAGCCTCCATTATGAGTTATAAAGTGAGGGATAACACTGAGCTAAATGGTAGTGGAGGTCACAGCCTGGGTGGGTCACCTGAGGAGGTCTCCCTGAAGTCCATGGCAGTCTGCAAGCACGTCCTGCCATTTCCCCAGTCTTGCTGTCTGGTTTCTGTGGGCTGCGAGGATCAGTGGGAAGAGCACTGGGATGACTTGGGCAGCTATTAATTTCAACTTTGAGCCCTAGTTTTCTCAAATTTCAAAAGCTTCCTTTCAGATCTGAATCTCTTACTGGAGTTCCCATAGAGTTGGAGGGAGGGAACTGATTGTGTGTGTGTGTGTGTGTGTGTGTGTGTGTGTGTGTGTGGTGGAGAGGATTTCATTTGCTAGTGGATTTGCATTCCCAGGAAGAGGAAACCCTAAGTATTGATTGACAGTTTCCAGGGTGGTGCAGGATAGAATTTTCTGCCCCTCATCTTGTCTTCAGTTCTACTTTTGCTTCTGGACTTTCATTAAAATGAATTATTTTAATTGCAGAATTTTTTTAATGGTTGAAATTTAAAATATAATATTGTCAGGTCATATGAAATTTTATTTAGGGGACAAAAGAAATTGTTATGTTACAGATATTTTATTTATCCTGGAATATGAAAGTGAGGAGCTCTTTCATAATCGAATTGAACTCTCTTAATATAAAGTGATTCATCTCTAGTGCATTAGTCTAGGTGATGCTCCTTATTTAGAGTTAAGAAATGAAATTAAAAATCGGTAATATCCAAACATATACACAACTACACATTTCAAACTGTTAACTTCTTTCACAACAAGTGAGAGACTCATTTTCTATTTATCATTTTTGATTTTGTAGTTTGGAAAGAGGACAAAAATATGAATTGGCTAACAGAATATGACCTGGTGTTTACTGTGCTGTGCAAGCTTTCTAAACTTCAGGTGCCCATGCCTGTAAAATGCTACAGAAATCATACATTAATTGTTCACAAATGAGAGCTGATATTATGGCATCGCATGATGAATCCAGCTACCTTGATTGGTTCTGTTAAAGGAGCAGCATGTGACTCCACATTTTTATAGGTTGCTGAAGCATCTATAGCTTCTTGATTCCACAAAGATAACATGTATTTGAGCTTGTTTTTCTGGCAAAAGTGAGGTGTTTTGAGTTATATTCTAGAAAAGGATATTTAGGAGGAGGAGAGCCAGATTTCACGCATATTAATTTCACTCAAAGGAGCTCTCTTGAGGGACTGAATCTATGACAATGGTCATCTCTGATTGGCTGGGCTAAGTGAACCAGGTAAGTATGGTTCAGGCTAGCCACAAATCATATTTCCTGCTCAGGACATTTGTAGATTGTTAGCTGTAGAACTCAGAGGAGCCTGTTCTTTCTGGTAGTTTTCTCTCAGTCCCTGGGAAACTCAGCAAAAAGTCTGTCTGCACAGATATGCCTTGGACTCTGCCTCTGGCAGTCCATCAGAGGACGAGACTTCTAAAGGCCCTGTTGTAAGAATTTCTGCTGCAGATCACAGAGACTTATGTACTGGAAACTGATACCAGAAGCTCCCCAGCTGGTCTTAACTCCCATGACAGAACAGAAGACCAGAGGTGACTTTTTACATAACTGGGTCCCCATCCATTCTATTTTAAATTCCACCTGGATGCTACCAGTGTGTGACAGAGCACAAGCTTGTAGTCACTGGCTCTCAGGCAAAGGCGAGAATGCATTCTGGATGTCATGCCGTCCTTTGGCGGCCAGAAAAACCCAAAGGGATGACAGTCTTGAAACAACAGAGGAGATACCAGTGACAGAAAGGGCAGGAGTAGGGTGCTGGCTTGATTTTCAAATTTCCACAGCTACAAATGTGTAATTGTTTTGTTTACTTATATAAGAAATTCAGACTGAAAATGCCTCATAAAGTGTTAATATAAAATGGTTTATATCTAGTGGTATTGTTACAGAGTATACAATCTTTTTTACAAACCAGAGCAGTCACCAGTGCCCGAGGGCACAGCAAAAACACACAACTGAAAATGCAGGGAGAGTATTCAGTCTCGCCCATG